GCTGCGCAAATGTGGGTCTGCCTCACACAGGGTGACTGGCTGTCTACAAGATGTGGCCTGTCCACATGCCCACTGTCATACAATTACACAACATCTTACATTTATTTTCACACAATACGTCTCCTTGCAGTATCAACACTAATTCGGCTGACTTTTATATTTGATCCAATTGATTTATATTTACACCATAACGGTGCACAGCTGATAGAAAGGGACTTAAAAAACGTTATTGAATTATTTTGTTGAAATTATGTTATATTTGATGACAAACATATTAAGAGTACATGCTTTCATAGGGGGGAAGTAGAAGGTCAATGATAGAAATATAGAATATAAAATGTCAAGAAGATACTGTAGTAATACTCTAGAATGAAACAGTTTAGTGCCGGACGTCCAATTATATTAACAGGAGGAGGTGCAAAACAGACCAACTAATAAGGCTTTATTTAAACATTAAAGAATACTTTAAGTTAAGGTCTTCTTTTGAATAAGAAAGAAACGTTGGGGGTATCCACAGATACAAATGAAGTCTGACAAAGTACAATCACACCCCTGAATTTGACTCAGGTGTAACTAAAGTCTGATTTAAGGGTTGTTTATATTTCACATCATTAATCAGAATCTGCAAAGTGACTAAAATAAATGTAGTGGAGTAAAAATACCAGGTTAACCTCTCAATTGTAGTGGAGTAGAACAAAGTAGTACATGCTGCTGTAACAAAAACATTTCCCAACTTGGGATCAATAAAGTATATCTTATCTTATGAGTGGATGAGTAATGCAGATATCAATGTGTGATCATTTGACAGTGAGAGGAATACATCCGGTTTTATTATGAAAACTTCGAGACCGGAAAAACTGTTTTCACCCCGTGAGGGTTGACGCTAACTTTACATGGAAGCTGCATACACGTTCTCCTGGCGAGACCTCAAATCATCTTCGTAATGTCTATCAAACTACAGATCCTACACATCGACTGGACGTGGATTCTAAAAGTACAATATACACTTCATGCCAGAAATCTAATAAAAAAGCATTTTAATGGCCAAACTATTCCACAATTTAGGATTTTCCAGAGAGGGTTATTTGTGAATAAACGTCCCTCCGGAGCATTTATAATGAACGGGCCGGGAGCATGTTGTTTATTACACGACCACTAGAGCACCTCTAGTGGTCGTGTAATAAACAACATACACTTTAAAACGTGTCTCTGGGTCGTAATAAGGGCATGAACAACTGGCCTATATGGTCGTTTTTTGTAGGAGGACAGGCTGCTCCTTTCGGGTACGGTGTGTTTATAGAGACATGTTTTGTAAATAATTGTTGAACATTAAGTTGTGCATACCAACAGAACAAATACAAATGAAAGGAAATGCTGCCCTCTTGGCCAGGTCGCTCTTGAAAAATAGATTTGAATCGCAATGAGACTTTTACCTGGTTAAATAAAGGATATATATATAATGGGATTCTGATTGTGTTTTTGAACGTGTGTTTCAGGTTGATTGGGCGCCATGTTGGAGGCGTCGCCGGGCGGGAACTCGTCCCACAGCAGCTTCCTGTTCGGAGGCTTCCCGGCGCTTCAGAACCACCAACGGCTGCTGGTTCTGGTTCTCCTGATCGGCTGCTACGTAACTTTGCTCCTTGGAAACTGTGCTTTGCTGCTGGTGATCGGCAGCGTGGCGTCTCTCCACAGCCCCATGTACCTTCTGATCGCCTCGCTGTGTGCCGTGGACATCCTGGTGGGAACGACCATCTTCCCCACTACGTTACTCAGCCTTCTGTTCAACTGGGACCGGATCTCTCTGACTGGCTGCCTCACACAGATGTTCTTCACCCACTTCCTGTCCTCGCTGGAGTCCACGCTTCTTCTAGCCATGGCGCTGGATCGCTACGTGGCCATTTGCTTTCCGCTACGCTACAATAAGATCATGAACGCCTCGGTGTTCGCCAAACTGCTTCTGTTCGCGTTGTTTCGCAGCTGTTCAGTCATGGGGACTTTGGTTGGTTTGGCGGGATCTCTGTGGTTCTGCGACTCCAACACAATCCGCCACTGTTACTGCGACCACATGGCGCTGGTTAGCTTAGCGTGCGGCGACACGGAGAGAAATCGAGCGGCCGGACTCGCCGTTATCATCTGTTTCGTGGGCGTCGACACCCCGGTTATCTTCTTCTCCTACGTGAAGATCCTGAGCGTTGTCCTGCGGGCGTCGGCGTCCGGAGAGGACCGCTGGAAGGCGTTCCACACCTGCGGGACGCACCTGATGGTTATGACCTGCTTCTACCTGGTGGGCAGCGTCTCCTTCCTGTCGCCCAGCATCAACATCCCCCCCGACGCTCACACCTTCATGGGTCTGATGTACATCCTGCTGCCGGCCACCGTCAACCCCATTATCTATGGAGTCCGCACCAAGGAGATCAGGAACGGATTCCTGAAGATCTTTAAAGTCAGAGCGAAGAAACTCAAGTCGATGAAGGTGAAGGTGTCTCCTGCTGGGAAAGGTAAAACTTGACATCAAAGTAAACTTCTGATGGACAGCCGTGTGTTTGACTGGAGAAATGTAGGGAATGAGGTCAATGGTTTTCTGAAGATATTTAAAGTCGATGAAGGTGCATCCTGCCGTGAACGGAAAAACTTTCGGCACCTAGTTTATTTGTTGTTGTCTGTCTGACTGTTTGTCTCACTGTTTATTTGAGTTATTTGTACTTCTGTTTTCCTGTAAAGTGACCTTGGGTTCCCTGAAAGGAGCTATATATTTAAATTATTATTATTTATAGTATTGACATCAAAGTAAACTTCTGATGGACCGCCGTGTTGGTTTGACTGGGAGAAATTAAGATGAGTAAACTTTGGGAATGAGGTCAATGGTTTTCTGAATGTGTTTTTGGTTTTAGAAATAAGGTGGTTAACACAAGGTGAAGAGATGTTACTGTACGACACGTTCAGAAATCAAGTGGTGCTGATATGTGGAGATTATCCTGCTGAACTAAACGTGTAATCATCAGAAACGTTGAGCATATTTTCTGCAATAATCCAAAATCACATGGAGGAATCCCATTGGACTAGAGAGATGCTGCCTTCAGGGACCAACACAGAAACACCACCTCCCTGCAGGACTCTTTAACAGCCAAATAAAAAATGTAGGTCTGAACTTTCATGTTTGCTGTGTGCTTGCATTTTACCTCTGGGTATTAAACGTCGGGACTCGTTGAATTAGCAGCGGCATTTCTTGTTGAATTGATAAAAATGGAAATTGTGATTATTGTTAACCCTTTGTGGTCCTTTAACACATCATGTCTGGCAAACAACTCTGTCGGGAAAAATATAAGTTTAAAATGGTGTGTTGGCACGAGTTTCTCAAAACTGAAACTACAATTCTTCGGTCCTCAAAACTAATCTGCAGATATATTACATCTATATCAATGTTTGTAAAATCAGTTGTGTTCAGGCTTTATGGTATTCCAGACATTTTTAGACCTAAAATATCAAAAACTAAATCAAGACTTTTTACGGATGGTTCTTAACGTCGGAGATTAACCCGAGCAATCCCAGTTCATGGTGAAGGGAATAAAGTTGTTTCCAGTAAAGACCTGACTAGAACGCACCCAGAGAACCAGCATGGAGCTACAACCAAACTGGTTTTCAGTGGAAAAAAAATCACATCGAATCCAAAATGTAACATTTGGGATTCAAGAAAAGTCCAGATTAGACCTGGAAGTAAAACTTGTGGTTGGTTATTTTTACACATTTTAATGCAGAAATGTTACATATTAACTCTGGGCTGTAGAAACAAGGATCAGACTATAAAAAGATAAATACAGCATTCATTTTAATTTGATCATTTACATCTGAAGGTGCAGAAGGTGTGTTTGAAGTCGTGCTTACGGACATTTCCTCTACAGTGTAAAATGTTCAGATTTTTTCAGAAATATAATTTGTTGATGCTTCAGAAAAAGGTCAGAATGCCAAAAAAACATCCTTTTTATTTAGGAATATATAGGTTTTCTCCAGGCCCTTTAAAAAATAAAGCCCATTCAAATAATGTGCGAAATAATGAGGATGTTTTGGGTGTTTTTATTTTGTAATCCTAATCTTTATCCTGTGGTTGATTATTTAAAGAGACACCATTTTTCTCCACACTTTTTTTGTTGTAAATTAATAACTTAAATCCCAGCAAAATGAATGGTTCTTCATTTTCAAGTTGCTACAGAGGCCGACGGTTGCAAACGTGCCCAAATCTCTTCCATCAGGGGAAACACGCTGCAGCTTCAGAAACGATGCAGAAATAGAAACCCAAATTCCCAACATTCAGCAGCTTGAGGAGACATGGCAGCGTTTACTACAAGCTACAGAAACCAAATGCTGAAGAAGCTCAAACACTTTGTGTGGAACATTTGGATTTTTATATCTGCACCCTTTCTGAAGCTGCAGCTCGTTTCTCCTGATGGAAATGTTTGGGCCGTTGTAGCACGTCTGCACCTGTCGGCCATCGTAGTTGCATATCAGGGAAATATCAAAAATGTTCTCTCTTGTGAATGTGAGAGATATTGGTAGATGAAAGACTCAGCTGAGTGAAAAGGAGGAAGATGTTCATAATGATGCAGGTTAATGATCTGTTTGTTTCAGGGCTTTCCTCTATAAAGGTTGATTATTCATGATATTAATAAATAATAATAATAAGTATGGATTTCATGCAAACGAGGCCACACTTCCCTCTCGGACAGTTTCGGTTGCGTTTCGTTGGGAAGCTTCTTCTTCAGGTGTTCCTCGGTGGGGAAACACTGGCAGTGTCTATGAGGACCGTCTGATACAACACATCGAAACTAATCTCAACACAACGTTACTCCTGCGGCTCCCTAATGGAAACACGTACAACAAAGTGACATTAGAGGCATGCTACCGGCCGCCGTGACGCCGCGGCCGCCGGTTCGAGTCCCGGCCGGCCGAGCTGCTCCGTCTGAAGACACGACGTCGGGACGGGATCGCGTTTAAAGGGTTTTCCGGACGGTTTTCTGGACTCTACAAACAGCAGCCAAACAACAACAACAGCGGCTCTATCTGTCGTCCAGTTTTGGCGAATCCACAGGCTCCTCGTCTTCGTCGTCATTCGCTTCGGCGGTCAGTCGCTGGCGGGCGAAGTCTTCGAAGATGATGTCATCGTCGCTATAGGAGAGGAAGGAGGGAAGGGGGGAGTGAGTGAGTTTATAACAAAACAAGCAAAGATCAGAGACTCATCACATTTGTGCGTTCAGGTTGTACGATACATTTGTACACGTTAAACTTGTACGATACATTTGTACCTTACTTTAGGTTTGTATCTTCAATTTGGATGTCAAATGCGTACGTAAAGTTTCTATGTTAAAATTGTACGTTTAACTTAAGAGACTTGGAGTTGCTCTGTGTTAATCTGTGAGTTGTATTCTTTTAAATGGACCACTTTGATTAAATGAGACCTGCTTGAAAATTCGGAAAAATCCTTCGCCATACCCAAGATCATCATCTCATCAAAACTGAGTCTCCCCATATGAACCTTGAGAGAACACTTTGATAATATAACAATTTTAGCTTTCCTCTTTTAGTGCTGACACATTAAATCAATTGTACATATGGTACTGCTGTAAAACAGACAGAGAGACAGACGGAGAGACAGACAGGAAGCTCACTTTGTGTCGAACTGGATCAGGTTTGTGTCGATCGGAGCTTCATCTGGAGCTGCAGAGAGGAGAGAGAAAACCTTTACAGAAACACATTTTTTAAAGAGTCCTCTCCTGCAGATTTTCAGGTGTATATCAGTATGTAGTGTCTCTACTTTAAAGAGTCCTCTCCTGCTGATGTTCAGGTGTATATCAGTATGTAGTGTCTCTACTTTAAAGAGTCCTCTCCTGCTGATGTTCAGGTGTATATCAGTATGTAGTGTCTCTACTTTAAAGAGTCCTCTCCTGCTGATGTTCAGGTGTATATCAGTATGTGGTGTCTCTACTTTAAAGAGTCCTCTCCTGCTGATGTTCAGGTGTATATCAGTATGTAGTGTCTCTACTTTAAAGAGTCCTCTCCTGCTGATGTTCAGGTGTATATCAGTATGTAGTGTCTCTACTTTAAAGAGTCCTCTCCTGCTGATGTTCAGGTGTATATCAGTATGTAGTGTCTCTACTTTAAAGAGTCCTCTCCTGCTGAGGGTCAGGTGTATATCAGTATGTAGTGTCTCTACTTTAAAGAGTCCTCTCCTGCTGATGTGCAGGTGTATATCAGTATGTAGTGTCTCTACTTTAAAGAGTCCTCACCTGCTGATGTTCAGGTGTATATCAGTATGTAGTGTCTCTACTTTAAAGAGTCCTCTCCTGCTGATGTTCAGGTGTATATCAGTATGTAGTGTCTCTACTTTAAAGAGTCCTCTCCTGCTGATGTTCAGGTGTATATCAGTATGTAGTGTCTCTACTTTAAAGAGTCCTCTCCTGCTGATTTTCAGGTGTATATCAGTATGTAGTGTCTCTACTTTAAAGAGTCCTCTCCTGCTGATGTTCAGGTGTATATCAGTATGTAGTGTCTTCTACTTTAAAGAGTCCTCTCCTGCTGGTGTTCAGGTGTATATCAGTATGTAGTGTCTCTACTTTAAAGAGTCCTCTCCTGCTGATGTTCAGGTGTATATCAGTATGCAGTGTCTCTACTTTAAAGAGTCCTCTCCTGCTGATGTTCAGGTGTATATCAGTATGTGGTGTCTCTACTTTAAAGAGTCCTCTCCTGCTGATGTTCAGGTGTATATCAGTATGTAGTGTCTCTACTTTAAAGAGTCCTCTCCTGCTGATGTTCAGGTGTTAGTCAGTATGTTAGTGTCTCTACTTTAAAGAGTCCTCTCCTGCTGATGTTCAGGTGTATATCAGTATGTAGTGTCTCTACTTTAAAGAGTCCTCTCCTGCTGAGGGTCAAGGTGTATATCAGTATGTAGTGTCTCTACTTTAAAGAGTCCCTCTCCTGCTGATGTTCAGGTGTATATCAGTATGTAGTGGTCTCTACTTTAAAGAGTCATCCTCCTGCTGATGTTCAGGTGTATATCAGTATGTAGTGTCCTCTACTTTAAAGAGTCCTCTCCTGCTGATGTTCAGGTGTATATCAGTATGTAGTGTCTCTACTTTAAAGAGTCCTCTCCTGCTGATGTTCTGGTTGTATATCAGTATGTAGTGTCTCTACTTTAAAGAGTCCTCTCCTGCTGATGTTCGGTGTATATCAGTATTTAGTGTATCTACTTTAAAGAGTCCCTCTCCTGCTGATGTTCAGGTGTATATCAGTATGTAGTGTCTCTACTTTAAAGAGTCCTCTCCTGCTGATGTTTCAGGTGTATATCAGTATGTAGTGTCTCTACTTTAAAGAGTCCTCTCCTGCTGATGTTCATGGTGTATATCAGTATGTAGTGTCTCTACTTTAAAGAGTCCTCTCCTGCTGATGTTCAGGTGTATATCAGTATGTAGTGTCTCTACTTTAAAGAGTCCTCTCCTGCTGATGTTCAGGTGTATATCAGTATGTAGTGTCTCTACTTTAAAGAGTCCTCTCCTGCTGATGTTCAGGTGTATATCAGTATGTAGTGTCTCTACTTTAAAGAGTCCTCTCCTGCTGATGTTCAGGTGTATATCAGTATGTAGTGTCTCTACTTTAAAGAGTCCTCTCCTGCTGATGTTCAGGTGTATATCAGTATGTAGTGTCTCTACTTTAAAGAGTCCTCTCCTGCTGATGTTCAGGTGTATATCAGTATGTAGTGTCTCTACTTTAAAGAGTCCTCTCCTGCTGATGTTCAGGTGTATATCAGTATGTAGGTGTCTCTACTTTAAAGAGTCCTCTCCTGCTGATGTTCAGGTGTATATCAGTATGTAGTGTCTCTACTTTAAAGAGTCCTCTCCTGCTGATGTTCAGGTGTATATCAGTATGTAGTGTCTCTACTTTAAAGAGTCCTCTCCTGCTGATGTTCAGGTGTATATCAGTATGTAGTGTCTCTACTTTAAAGAGTCCTCTCCTGCTGAGGTTCAGGTGTATATCAGTATGTAGTGTCTCTACTTTAAAGAGTCCTCTCCTGCTGATGTTCAGGTGTATATCAGTATGTAGTGTCTCTCACTTTAAAGAGTCCTCTCCTGATGATGTTTCAGGTGTATATCAGTATGTAGTGTCTCTACTTTAAAGAGTCCTCTCCTGCTGATGTTCAGGTGTATATCAGTATGTAGTGTCTCTACTTTAAAGAGTCCTCTCCTGCTGATGTTCAGGTGTATATCAGTATGTAGGTGTCTCTACTTTAAAGAGTCCTCTCCTGCTGATGTTCAGGTGTATATCAGTATGTAGTGTCTCTACTTTAAAGAGTCCTCTCCTGCTGATGTTCAGGTGTATATCAGTATGTAGTGTCTCTACTTTAAAGAGTCCTCTCCTGCTGATGTTCAGGTGTATATCAGTATGTAGTGTCTCTACTTTAAAGAGTCCTCTCCTGCTGAGGGTCAGGTGTATATCAGTATGTAGTGTCTCTACTTTAAAGAGTCCTCTCCTGCTGATGTGCAGGTGTATATCAGTATGTAGTGTCTCTACTTTAAAGAGTCCTCACCTGCTGATGTTCAGGTGTATATCAGTATGTAGTGTCTCTACTTTAAAGAGTCCTCTCCTGCTGATGTTCAGGTGTATATCAGTATGTAGTGTCTCTACTTTAAAGAGTCCTCTCCTGCTGATGTTCAGGTGTATATCAGTATGTAGTGTCTCTACTTTAAAGAGTCCTCTCCTGCTGATTTTCAGGTGTATATCAGTATGTAGTGTCTCTACTTTAAAGAGTCCTCTCCTGCTGATGTTCAGGTGTATATCAGTATGTAGTGTCTCTACTTTAAAGAGTCCTCTCCTGCTGGTGTTCAGGTGTATATCAGTATGTAGTGTCTCTACTTTAAAGAGTCCTCTCCTGCTGATGTTCAGGTGTATATCAGTATGCAGTGTCTCTACTTTAAAGAGTCCTCTCCTGCTGATGTTCAGGTGTATATCAGTATGTGGTGTCTCTACTTTAAAGAGTCCTCTCCTGCTGATGTTCAGGTGTATATCAGTATGTAGTGTCTCTACTTTAAAGAGTCCTCTCCTGCTGATGTTCAGGTGTATATCAGTATGTAGTGTCTCTACTTTAAAGAGTCCTCTCCTGCTGATGTTCAGGTGTATATCAGTATGTAGTGTCTCTACTTTAAAGAGTCCTCTCCTGCTGAGGGTCAGGTGTATATCAGTATGTAGTGTCTCTACTTTAAAGAGTCCTCTCCTGCTGATGTTCAGGTGTATATCAGTATGTAGTGTCTCTACTTTAAAGAGTCCTCTCCTGCTGATGTTCAGGTGTATATCAGTATGTAGTGTCTCTACTTTAAAGAGTCCTCTCCTGCTGATGTTCTGGTGTATATCAGTATGTAGTGTCTCTACTTTAAAGAGTCCTCTCCTGCTGATGTTCAGGTGTATATCAGTATTTAGTGTATCTACTTTAAAGAGTCCTCTCCTGCTGATGTTCAGGTGTATATCAGTATGTAGTGTCTCTACTTTAAAGAGTCCTCTCCTGCTGATGTTCTGGTGTATATCAGTATGTAGTGTCTCTACTTTAAAGAGTCCTCTCCTGCTGATGTTCTGGTGTATATCAGTATGTAGTGTCTCTACTTTAAAGAGTCCTCTCCTGCTGATGTTCAGGTGTATATCAGTATGTAGTGTCTCTACTTTAAAGAGTCCTCTCCTGCTGATGTTCAGGTGTATATCAGTATGTAGTGTCTCTACTTTAAAGTGTCATCTCCTGCTGATGTTCTGGTGTATATCAGTATGTAGTGTCTCTACTTTAAAGAGTCCTCTCCTGCTGATGTTCAGGTGTATATCAGTATGTAGTGTCTCTACTTTAAAGAGTCCTCTCCTGATGATGTTCAGGTGTATATCAGTATGTAGTGTCTCTACTTTAAAGAGTCCTCTCCTGCTGATGTTCAGGTGTATATCAGTATGCAGTGTCTCTACTTTAAAGAGTCCTCTCCTGCTGATGTTCAGGTGTATATCAGTATGTGGTGTCTCTACTTTAAAGAGTCCTCTCCTGCTGATGTTCAGGTGTATATCAGTATGTAGTGTCTCTACTTTAAAGAGTCCTCTCCTGCTGATGTTCAGGTGTATATCAGTATGTAGTGTCTCTACTTTAAAGAGTCCTCTCCTGCTGATGTTCAGGTGTATATCAGTATGTAGTGTCTCTACTTTAAAGAGTCCTCTCCTGCTGATGTTCTGGTGTATATCAGTATGTAGTGTCTCTACTTTAAAGAGTCCTCTCCTGCTGATTTTCAGGTGTATATCAGTATGTAGTGTCTCTACTTTAAAGAGTCCTCTCCTGCTGATGTTCAGGTGTATATCAGTATGTAGTGTCTCTACTTTTAAAGAGTCCTCTCCTGCTGATGTTCAGGTGTATATCAGTATGTAGTGTCTCTACTTTAAAGAGTCCTCTCCTGCTGATGAGTTCCATAGTGATGTAACTGTGTTTAGGAAGTGTCAAGCCAGCCATAAAAACAGATAAATAAAAATAATAAAGTCATATTTATTTCACTGCAGTCAAAGTACTAATAATATATTGTAAAAAATAAAGTAAAATGTAACTGCAGTCACACTTTTGACAAGCACTATATAAGTTCAATTATTAAAGTACTATTTATTAATAAAATGTATAAAGTTCTGTTGTAATTGGGACATTTTCACTGTCTGTGTATTTGATGCACACTTATTATCGCAGCTGAACTGCATTAACAAATAAAAGCTGACATGTTTACAACATTTCATACAGTATGCTTTAAGGCCATGCATCAGGTTCACAGTAATGGCTCTGCTGTAAACACTGGGAAATGTCCGATTAAATGTCCTACAGAGTCATTATTGACGAGCGTGCAGTGAACTCACCGTCTCTGTAGAACGACTCCTCTAGCGGCTTCGGGTGCATTAACGTAAACGGCAGCTCCACAGAGACGTCACTGAAACACAAATCATCAGAAGCACCGCCATAAAAACACCCATAACCCTCAGTAGCTTTATTACACACATCTATTACTGGGACTATTATCCCTGCCCTCTGTAAATCTCAGTGACAGAATGAGAAAGGTTACCTCGCCGCCAGATCTCCCAGGAGCCTGAAATAAAAAAACATTAACGCTTTAGTTTCATCTCATTTCTGATGATGTGCCAATAACGGCCATCTCGGTACCAAATGGACTGAAATGTAGATAAAAAGCCATAGATATCTTTTTTCAGTTCAATCACCAAACTATTCAACCCAGTCTCACGGCATTTCGTGTTCACCAACACGATTTTTAATCTATTGATTCGTGTTCACCAACACGATTTGCCCCTTTTTTTCGTGTTGCACAGCACGATTTTAAAAGCAATGTATTTCTACTGCCTGCAGCATGTCTTTTTCTCCGGTCGGGTCGAGGAAGACCGGAAGCTGTGTGGTTCATAAAAACATGTTCTTACTCAATATCAAGCCACAGTTATTGCTTTTATTTGAAATCGTATAATTTCGGACTTTTGTTGCCGTCTGTGAGGAAAATAAATGGCTCAGAGCCTCAGGATACTGAAATCTGTATTTTTAAATCTTTGTTTCCTTCTAATTCGATATTCTTTTCAAAATAACACACTGTTATTTACTCACCAATAACACACAATTATCCTTGCTTTTATTTATTGGTTTGATTCCATAATCTCGGGCTTTTTTGGCGTCAGTCAGGAACTGAATTTCAAAATAAAAATAACCAGAAACAGACGTAGGCATTTCGAGCGATTACCCAAGATCCTCAGCTATGGTTTTAAGCTCGCTTATTGGATGTTTTAGCCGCAATGCATGCTGGGATTTGGTGTTTATATGATATGAAATCCGGAAAACATTTTAAAAGAATAAAATAATACTTAATTCCGAGCGCTCTTGCTTTTCTCTTTGAAAGTCTTCACATAACGGCATTGTAATACACGGTTCGGCTGCATTGTATATTACAGATCTGCCGTAGTTCTTTATTTATAGAGCCCTGATGAGAAGACCTTTGGAAAAACTGAGAAAATGCCGCCGAAACTGAATACTTGACGTGGATCATAAATATATTCAACAATTAAACAACATCTTCAATTTCTCTTCACACAATACGTCTCCTTGCAGTATCAACACTAATTCGGCTGACTTTTACATTTGATCTAATTCATAGATAGGTTATATTTACACCATAACGGTGCACAGCTGATATAAAAGGACTGTAGTTTTTAAAGATATTACTGATTTTCTTTGAATGTAAGAATGTAAATACTGAGTTTGAAATAGTATAGCAATATGCTGTAAAATTATGTGAAAGCATGAATAAAACTACACATCTTCAGATGTTGTACGAAAACATAAGTGTCCTACACTAATAATACAAAGTTATTATGGCTGTGTGTACCTTGTGTGCACCGCCTAGTGGTTAAAGCACGTTATTGAATTATTGTGTTTTATTTGATTAAAAAAATATTAAGAGTACATACTTTCATAGGGGGAAAGTATAAATATAGAATATAAAAAATCAAAAATCAAGAAGATACTATAAGTGATCTCTACAATAAAACAGTTTAGTGCAGAATGTACAAAGATATGAATAGGAGGAGGTGCAAAACAGACAAACGAATTAACCTTTATTTAAACATTAAATAACAGATTAAGGTCTTCTTTTAAATAAGAAAAAAACTTTGGGGGGTATCTATCTACAGATAAATATTAAGCCTGACAAAGTACTTAACGTCTAATATATTGCTTTCCTGCAATGTTAACTATGTTGAAGCACTTATTTTAACTGATATTATACATATGAATTATACTCTTATGTATGTAGATAGAATAAGAAATGTGCAGAATATGACAGTTTAATGGTGGAGGTACACACATATTGATAGATGTCTTGTAATGCACTGTTGAGGAACCTGTGACCCAAGTGTTTCATTCATTGCATAACTACACCGTAGTTGTGTATAGATATGTCAATAAACCTTTGAAAATCTTGAAATCTTGAAAGGGATGTGCAAAATAGCCATAATATACAGTCTTTAATGAACTATTAGTAGAGAATAACGAGTAATGAATATACTTTATTACTCGTTTCCATTCATGTCAATTGCAGATACATGTTTAGTCTTCTCAAGCACCAACTATCAAATATCTCTCCTGATTGTTGGCACTTGACAATCACCTTACCTGAATTTTACTCAGGTGTAACTAAAGTCTGATTTAAGGGTTGTTTATATTTCACATCATTAATCAGAATCTGCAAAGTAACTCAAATAAATGCAGTGGAGTAAAAATACCAGGTTAACCTCTGAATTGTAGTGGAGTAGAATTACAAAGGAACAATGAGCTGTCATGTGGGTATTAATGCTGCGCATTATGGACACAAGCGATTTTCACCCATTTATTAATTATATGTTTTACATTTGATAACACCAATGTGTTTAATACTGGCAACTTCTAATTGTGGGAAAAAACGAAAACGTTCAGTAGAGACGTCCCATAGAACATTTTGCGAAACACAATAGCCAGCATGTGTAGTTCTGGGGGGGCGTTCGATTCCAGTTTTGGGTAGTCTGGCGTGGTTTCGTTCCATTTCAAACAGCTGTTTGACGCTCGGCGTAACCTTGGCGCACTGCCACTCCAACATTCAATCCCAGAGTTTGAAGATTAATCACGGGGACTGTAGTCCTAAACGATAGCTGGGGATTATGGGTAGTGTAGTGTCTTCGGCCATCCTAAACTCAGAAATGTTGACAATCGCAATGATGCTCGAAATGTCCCTTATAGGCCTATGTCTGTTTCCGGTTATTTTATTTTTAAATTCAGTTCCTGACGGACGCCAAAAAAGCCCGAGATTATGGAATTAAACCAATAAATAAAAGCAAGGATAATGGTGTGTTATTGGTGAGTAAATAACAGTGTGTTATTTTGAAAAGAATATCGAATTAGAAGGAAAAAAATATTTAAAAATACAGATTTCAGTATCCTGAGGCTCTGAGCCCCATTTATTTTCCTCACAGACGGCAACAAAAGTCCGAAATTATACGATTTCAAATAAAAGCAATAACTGTGGCTTGATATTGAGTAAGAACATGTTTTTATGAACCACACAGCTTCCGGTCTTCCTCGACCCGACCGGAGAAAAAGACGTGCTGCAGGCAGTAGAAATACATTGCTTTTAAAATCGTGCTGTGCAACACGAAAAAAAGGGGCAAATCGTGTTGGTGAACACGAATCAATAGATTAAAAATCGTGTTGGTGAACACGAAATGCCGTGAGACTGGGTTGAACTATTGGTTATTGGCCTTGGAGCTTTAAATAACTGAAATGTACACCAGCTCAACAAGTAAGAAAACAAGGGGGTTGTATACGATTCAGAAAACAGCTTTGACCCCCTCTTGACTTTTTATCATCTCAAGAGTTAGGAACAGAAACTGGTGATCCTACGGTGCTACAACAAGATGTTTTCTAAATGCTGCATGTTTTCTCAAGTTGCTGAAGATGATTCTACATGTGTTTTAGCCCATTTGTGTTTTTGTATCTGCGATTTCGTCTCCTCTGATAATATCAGTTAATGAGTTAAAATCACTCACCCGCCTCGAGACACGACCAGCTTCACTTTGACTTTGTACGACACGATGATGCCGAGGATCTCCTTATTTGCTCCTTCTCTCAACCTGAGCAAAACACATTCAAATGGACCAATAAGAAGCCAGTAGCATGTCAGTATAGTAAAGTCAGAATTTAGAACAAAGTCAGATTTAGTAAGAATTCTGTTTTTTTCTTTCACTTTTGTTTGGATCTAAAAAATTCACATGTGGCCTTTATCTTCTACCGTAATAGAGTGGTTCAGGAATGAGTCCTAAAACCCGGAAGTGAGTCAGCATTTTACCACTTCCTGTTCCCTCGTCTTAGAGTCAACGGGATTTCTCCATAGGATTTTGGAAAGCAAAGTCAAGAGACGGATCACGTTTTGTTCTAGGACATTAAATCCATCAGCAGTGACCCCACTGGGGATTTCTGAAGAGTTGAGGTGTCTGAAAAACTATGGTTGTTACCAAGTGGCTGATTGCACTACAGAAATCGTGGAGGACGTTGTACGTCATTGCACCAAACACGTAAACACCCTGTTCTGAAAGCAAGCAAGTGCCTCCTGCAAACTGTTAAAACAAACGCTTAAACTCGTACCATTTAGAATCTGTATGTTTGAATATGGATTTTAAGTTGGCGTGACGTTGAAGTCGTGCTGCATAACGTTAGCATTTTGCTTCTGGCCATTAGATTTATGATTAGAAAATTATAAAAGTAGGGCAGACATGTGGAGATTATCCGGCTGAACAAAACATGCGTTTATCAAACAGGTTCGTTTTTCACAGATCTTATTTTTTACAATATTCCAAAATCCTATGAAGAAATCCCGTTGTTTTTTTGTCGAGGGAACCAGCAGCTTCCTTCTGGGTCGAACTACATAAATACGTCATCACTGCACCGCTCTATTATTACTCTTGTAACTATATACACTTTTTACAATACAATACCTTCAGACTCAGTTGCAGGATTTTGTGAATCAGCTGATTAAAGAGTCTTCCCCTGTCCCATGGGCCAATGAAGGCATCATGTTTTGACTCACAGTGTGCTGGAGGCCAGGTTGGTGTCCTCGTGCTTCAGCTTCCCGTCCAGAGCCAGGCCTCGCTTCTCCCGGTTGCTGGCCAGAAACGGAGTGAGGGTGAAAACTTTGCAGAACGTCGAACTGGGAGCAACGAGATTGCTGAGGACAGAGAAATATAAAATAACATTAAAGATATATCCTTTTGACTTTAAAATATACAAACCCGGTTAGGAAATTAACATTAGAGCATCGTGCTTAACATATCAAAGGTATGTTTGTTTATATTAAATATTTCAAAACTTAAAAACAAAGAATACGGTGCAAAGTCACTGAAAACGAGAGATTAGCATAAAAATCACCAGATTAACATGCAAAGTTACTGATTAACGTACAAAGTTACTGATTAACGCACAAAGTTACTGATTAACGTACAAAGTTACTGATTAACGCGCAAAGTTACTGATTAACGCACAAAGTTACTGATTAACGTGCAAAGTTACTGATGAACGTGCAAAGTTATTGCTTAACGTACAAAGTTACTGATTAACGAGCAAAGTTACTGATTAACGCGCAAAGTTATTGCTTAACGTACAAAGTTACTGATTAACGCACAAAGTTACTGATTAACGTACAAATGACTGATTAACGCGCAAAGTTACTGATTAACGCACAAAGTTACTGATTAACGTACAAATTACTGCTTAACATACAAAGTGACTGATTAACGTACAAAGTTACTGATTAACGTACAAATTACTGATTAACGTACAAATTACTGATTAACGTGCAAAGTTACTGATTAACGTACAAAGTGACTGATTAACGTACAAAGTTACTGATTAACGTACAAAGTTACTGATTAACGCCCAAAGTTACTGATTAACGTACAAAGTTACTGATTAAAGTTAAAAGTTACTGATTAACGTACAAATTACTGCTTAACATACAAAGTGACTGATTAACGTACAAAGTTACTGATTAACGCGCAAAGTTACTGATTAACATACAAAGTTACTGATTAATGCACAAAGTTACTGATTAACGTACAAATTACTGCTTAACATACAAAGTGACTGATTAACGTACAAAGTTACTGATTAACATACAAAGTGACTGATTAACGTACAAAGTTACTGATTAACGTACAAAGTTACTGATTAATGTACAAAGTTACTGATTAACGTGCAAAGTTACTGATTAACGTGCAAAGTTACTGATTAACGTACAAAGTTACTGATTAATGTACAAAGTTACTGATTAACGTACAAAGTTACTGATTAACGTACAAAGTTACTGATTAACGCACAAAGTTACTGCTTAACGTACAAAGTTACTGATTAACGTACAAAGTTACTGATTAACGTACAAAGTTACTGATTAACGTACAAAGTTACTGATTAATGTACAAAGTTACTGATTAACGTACAAAGTTACTGATTAACGTACAAAATTACTGCTTAACGTACAAAGTTACTGATTAACGTAGAAAGTTACTGATTAAAGTTCAAAGTCACAGATTAAAGTTTAAAGTCACAGATTAAAGTTCAAAATCACAGATTAAAGTTCAAAATCACAGATTAAAGTTCAAAGTCACATATTAAAGTTCAAAGTCACAGATTAAAGTTCAAAGTCACATATTAAAGTTCAAAGTCACAGATTAAAGTTCAAAGTCACAGATTAAAGTCAAAGAATAACGTGTAAAATTACAATTTTTTATAATCACACACTAACGTACTGTAAAAGTCAGGTATTACCTTACAAAGTCACAGAATCACGTTAGAAATATCTTAAATGATTAGGTTTGTTTATTTGCAGATGATTTAAATAAATTCCTCATATTATGTTTTTTCATACATAAACAGCTCCAGATAAATTATAAAGAAAGGACAAATAAATGAAACTGACTCTGACTCCTCGGTGGCCACCGGACATTTGTACTGCGCCGTGTTGAAGAGGCAGATATCTGCGTACTGGCGCACTGCGGACACACAAAACATCCGTCACTAACAGAGGTGGAAGAAATACTCAGATCTTGTACTTGAGTAAAGGTAGAAGTACTCTGATCTTGTACTTGAGTAAAGGTAGAAGTACTCAGATATTGTACTTGAGTAAAATTAGAAGTACTCAGATCTTGTTCTTGAGTAAAAGTAGAAGTACTCTGATCTTGTACTTGAGTAAAGGTAGAAGTACTCAGATCTTGTACTTGAGTAAAAGTAGAAGTACTCAGAGTGTAGGAATACTCTGTTACAGTAAAAGTCCTGCATTCAAAATGTTCCCCAAGTGAAAGTAGAAAAGTATTCTCATCAAAATATAGTGAAAGTAGCGACAGTAAAAGTAGTCGTTGTGCAGATTGGTCCATTTCAGAATAATATATATGATATGTTTTATAATGATTGATCATGAAAGTGTTCTCAAAGCTGGTGAAGGTGCAGCTAGTTTGAATGGCTTTGTATACTGCAGGGTAGCTGGTGGATTTACTCCGGGTGGAACTAAAGTCTGATTAAAGAGTTAAAGTACATCATTTACCTCTGAATTTTAGTGGAGTAGAAGTACACAGTATCATAAAATGGAAATACTCAATTAAAGTACGAGTACCTCAACATTGTACAGTACTTAAATGTACTTAGTTACTTTCCACCGCTGGTCACTAACACAAAGGGACAAACAGAGAGTGGTGCGTTCTGGGACCTGAGATCTTCATCTTCTTCACCGTCTTGTTGGTGTTGTTGGTGACGTGGACGTTGACGCTGATCGGCTCTCCGTGGTAATAAATCTGAGAGAGAAAGATTATTAGATCTATTATATAAGTATATAAATGATTATTGTTATTCATTTAAAATATTATTATAGATATATGTTATTCTTGTGATTATGGTTTATGATATCTGTAATAATTAATATGAAATAATGTCATATTTGCAATAATATTTTTCATAATCTGAATTATTGTGAAATCGATATTTCTGTTCTTGATCTGGTCGATAGTGGAGTGTACGTGTTCTTATGTTCAAGTACTGCACTTGAGAACACATTTACTGGTAGTACTTTACTAGAGCATTTCCATGTTCTACTTTAATAAACTCTTCCTGCATTACAGCTGTAAGTCTAAATGAGTGTGTTATAAATGTCATTTATCATGATAACACACACCTCTTTGTCCAGGGACGCCTCCAGGTGCAGCGGTTTGTCCGACATCAGGAACTGTCGGGTCGTCTCTGCGGTCGGCTGAGGGCCCGGCTTCTCCGGAGCAAACTGAACCTTCCTGATCACCAGACGCACAGAGTTCCTGCACAAACAACGCACTTATTGTAAGTCGCTTTGGATAAAAGCGTCAGCTAAATGCAATGTAATGTAATGTAACAACAACGTGAGCAACAACGTGAGCAACAACATGAGCAACAACATAAGCAACCACAACAAAAACTACATGAGCAACAACAGTATAAACAGCAACATGAGTGCTATAAGTGCTTATTAACAAAGCACTTATATACTAATAAAGGACTGGCTTATCTAAAGCCAGTTGAGTAGCACTTGAAATGTTTGGCTCTATGAAACCTGATGTACTTTATGATTCTGTTTTCTTCAAGGTTGTGTCTTCCTGGTCGAATGTACTTATTGTAAGTCGCTTTGGATAAAAGCGTCAGCTAAATGTAATGTAATGTAATGTAATGAGCAACCACAACATAAGCAACAACATAAGCAACCACAACATAAACAACAACATGAGCAACAACTTAAACAACAACATAAGCAACCACAACATAAACAACAACATCAGCAACCACAACATAAACAACAACATGAGCAACAACTTAAACAACAACATAAGCAACCACAACATAAACAACAACATCAGCAACCACAACATAAACAACAACATGAGCAACAACTTAAACAACAATATAAGCAACTACAACATAAAAAACAACACAAGAAACCACAATATAAACAACAACTTCACACCAGAGGCCTGCACTACGAAGCCGGATGTTCTCTTAGCGGCTAACTTCAGGGAAAACTCGGGGTTTCCGGTCCCACGACGCTGGTTCACTTTTTAGCGGGCTAGATCTCCATGGTGACTTATCCTGGAACCTAGTCTGTGCTCCGTTCCAGGATAAGAGATCAACTCAGCGAAAGCACCACGCCTGCTGACCAATCAGAGCTCAGTGTGCGGAGGACATACAGTTTAAACTGCGGTTGCAGGAAAGACGGCCGGCCAAAATCACCGACTGTGTGAACGTGAAAATGAATAGAATATCACCTCCATCTTCAGAGCAATCGGACTATTATAACTATCATTATACTATTATTTTAAGAAAGCTTAATTAAATATCTGCCACAACATACGTAAGCAGATCAAAGTAACATTACGTAGCCTACAGTCCGCGGCACTGTGAGAGCAGACGTCGATATGTCCCATTATCATTCATATCACATCATATCACTTCATAATGTATCATATATCTCCTTATCTGAGTCAGCTGAGCCGTATCTGGCCGTGCAACACTCACAGCGTCACAGACTGGATGCAGAAGCATTATTTGAAGCAACACATTAAGTTGAGGAAACACTGGAGTCAGATGTAATGAAAGTCAGATGGTGTCTTAGACGGGCAGTGATATCATAAAGCTGTTAATGTACGCATTCAAACACTTGTTCTGTTCCCAGCTGTGTTCACCTTGCAGGTGCAGCTCTGTGGCTTTGATCCTGGATCAAGTGTTTAAGTCCTGGATGTTTAAAGTTTAACTTCTTCATATTTGACTAATATTATAGTTGACTTTTCATTCAGGAAGTATGACGCTGCGCTGTCAGTGCGCTTCTCCATGTTTGTGATTGGTCGAATGCTCCAGATACTAGTGAAGTTACGTATTGCGCCGAGGCTTCGGAGCATGTGTCGAGTAATCCCCGAAGCTTTTTGTGAAGCATGTACCGAGGCTTGTATCGTTTTGGGCCAGTGACGTCATCGACGACAAACGAAGCCTCGCTGCCTGTCGACACCACGTGACTGCTTCACGAAGCGATTCAGATCGGTTGAACCGTTGAACCACAACGCTCATAATACCCATGGATGTATAATAAGAACCATATTACCCCTCCTGTACCCGGGCCCGGTGACACGATGGAATCAAGAGAGCTCAGACCCTCACTCATATAGAGGTCGGAACATGTCATAAGTATAAATAGATACAAGCATAAATACATGTAGGAATAAAAACATCAATAAATACAGGAATAAATATGTTCCAGTGTTGTCAGGGAGATTCAGTGTGTGTGCTGCGGCTCAGCTGGAAAGCAGTTGACTCATGACCGCAGGGTCCCTGGTTCAACGACTGAACAATACGTATTTTTTGTTGTTTATAAAAGCTACAGCTAAATGAGACAATGTAGTTAATAAATGCATTCTTTGATATGGTTTGGCCTTTCTCAGGCTACAACATGGTTACGTTTATGAATATTATTAAGGAATACAAATCCCTCTTTGCAATGTTTAGCAGCCTCCTTAGGCTTTTCAATCACAATCATTAAACTGGAATAAATACAATATTGTTAACATGAAAATATGATTTAATGTTCGTTGTTTAGAGTTATTCTAAGGCTTTACTCATTGGGAACTCGGTATGAGAGAGAGCACACTGTTGAGATGTCCAATCTGCCTGTTTTACACACTTTGACCAACAGGGGGTTTGTGTTCAAATGAAGCCCATGATGAAGCCTCATGAGATGAAGCCCATGATGAAGCCTCATGAGATGAAGCCCATGATGAAGCCTCATGAGATGAAGCCCATGATGAAGCCTCATGAGATGAAGCCCATGATGAAGCCTCATGAGATGAAGCCCATGATGAAGCCTCATGAGATGAAGCCCATGATGAAGCCTCATGAGATGAAGCCCATGATGAAGCCTCATGAGATGAAGCCCATGATGAAGCCTCATGAGATGAAGCCCATGATGAAGCCTCATGAGATGAAGCCTCATGAGATGAAGCCCATGATGAAGCCTCATGAGATGAAGCCCATGATGAAGCCTCATGAGATGAAGCCCATGATGAAGCCTCATGAGATGAAGCCCATGATGAAGCCTCATGAGATGAAGCCCATGATGAAGCCTCATGAGATGAAGCCCATGATGAAGCCTCATGAGATGAAGCCCATGATGAAGCCTCATGAGATGAAGCCCCATGATGAAGCCTCATGAGATGAAGCCCATGATGAAGCCTCATGAGATGAAGCCCATGATGAAGCCTCATGAGATGAAGCCCATGATGAAGCCTCATGAGATGAAGCCCATGATGAAGCCTCATGAGATGAAGCCCATGATGAAGCCTCATGAGATGAACCCTTTTGCGAACCAATTGGCTGGAAAGCTTCAAAGCTTCATAAGGCTTCATCTCGCCATCACTACCAGATACCACCCCTTTTATGTGGACGCGCACCTAACTAGATAGGACACGGCTGGCTTGAGCGAACGAGTTGATAGCCAGCGTCATAGGACAGTTTAGCGAGAGCGGCTTTGTTTTGGATTAAGTCAACCGAATAACTCAAAACATATCCAGGAAAGGTTGAACTAGATTCGTAGTATACCCCCCTGGTCGGGAGCAGGTTAGGTTGCAGGCTAAGAGCTCAACTCAGTGAAAGCACTGCCTGCTAACCAATCAAAGCTCAGTGTGCGGAGTTTAAAGCGATCAAGTCATATTACAGGAGAAAGGAAATACAGAAAAGCTGCCGTCGCAGGAAAGACGGCCGGCAACAATCACCGACTGTGTGAACGTGAACATGAATAGAATATCACCTCCATCTTCAGAGCAATCTGACTATTATAACATTAGCGTTAAGAAAGCTTACTGAAATATCTGCCACAACATAAGTAACCGGATCAGAGTCACATTAAGTACAGTCCATATCACTTCATAATGTATCATCTCCTGATCTGAGTCAGCTGAGCCGTATCTGGCCGTGCAACACTCACAGCGTCACAGACTGGATGCAGAAGCATTATTTGAAGCAACACATTAAGTTGAGGAAACACTGGAGTCAAATGTAATGAAAGTCAGATGGTGTCTTAGACGGGCAGTGATATCATAAAGCTGTTAATGTACGCATTCAAACACTTGTTCTGTTCCCAGCTGTATTCACCTTGCAGGTGCAGCTCTGTGGCTTTGATCCTGGATCAAGTGTTTGAGTCATGGATGTTTAAAGTTTAACTTCTTCATATGTCTAATATTATAGTTGACTTTTCATTCAGGAAGTATGACGCTGCGCTGTCAGTGCGCTTCTCCATGTCTGTGATTGGTCGAATGCTCCAGATACCACCCCTTTCATGTGAACGCGCACCTAACTAGATAGGACACGGCTGTCTTGAGCGATCCACTTGATAACCCGCGTCGTAGGACAGTTTAGCGAGAGCGCGTATGTTTTGAATTAGGCCAACCTTAGGCTAACTCAAACATATCCAGGTTAGGTTGAACCAGCTTCGTAGTACAGGCCTCTGGGCCGTGTCTCGTTTCTGAGATTCCCCTCCTCGACTCCTATCCTCGAGACTTAGTGCCGCCCGCAGGAGATACGAGCGGAGGAGCAGAGGAGAGAGGAGTCGAGGAGGGGAACCGAGGAGAGAGGAGGGGAAGCAGCAGGCGGTTAGAGAAATGAGAACTCCTCTCCTCTGAGCGGTCATTTTAAAGAGACGTCCATTAATGATGACAGGAGGCAGCAGCCCTCTGTCTGATGGACAGATGTGTTCATGACCACTTCTATATTTACTTTGATTCATTCACAGTGCGGTATAATGAGACAATAACAGGCTACAGATGCGGACACACACACACACACACACACACACACACACACACACACACACACACACACACACACACACACACACACATATATATATATTTATATAAATATATACAATTTCAGAATCAAACAAGTATGAGAGCACTCTCATAATAACGTAACACCAAACTAAACATGCGAGTCTCATCAACGTTTCAGATTATTGTCTGCATTAATCCAGAACCCCACAGAGAATCCCATTGGGAGCCCTTCTGTCCAACAGAAACTCTTATTATTACTGAACCACTCTGCGTTCCTGTCCGACCTGCTAATGCACGCCGGGTTTCGCTTTCATCCATAATTCATCTCTTTATTGCGCCTCACTTTTACCTCTTGTGGATCTTCTCCTCAACGTTCTCTGCACAGAAAGACTTCACCTCGAAGTCCACGCCGCAGGCCTGGAAACACAGCAGAGGATGTTTAGCGCTGATTTAATTTCAGGAGTCTGATTCATTGCTGAAGCAGTGAACACATCGTTACCAACTATTTCTGGTTATTTTGCAGGTTGTTTTCCACATGTTGCATTTTTGGTGGTTTTTGCGTCTCGTTTTACCTTCCCCGTGTCCTCGGGGCCCGGCTGCAGGGTGACGGAGCACGGCAGGTTCAGAGGGATCTGCAGTCAGGGACAAATAATCATAACGTTATTTACACATTGTCACAAGGACCGATACAGGAAAACACTCCTGCCTACTGCAATAACTCTCTATAACAAATCTCCTCTGGAAGAGAACTCTCTGCTTAAACTCTCTCTGTACATTTTACATTTATATTCAATTTAATATTTGATATTCCATTCCTTACACACTTATATATAATATCCTGCTTTATATTTTGTTACTGTAAATTTGTAATTCAACATGTATATTTTCTACTCTTTTAATGCTATTTTATTTAAATTATTCAGATGCTTACTTGTTGTAATGTTTATTTCTAGTCTTTTAATTTCTCTAATGTACCACGCCATGTCTTTTCATGCTGCTGCAACACAACAATTTCCCAAATTGGGATCAATAAAGTACTTCTTATCTTCTTGTCTTATCTTGGACAGGATTCGTAATCATCGGCGATCTAGTTACGTCTTTTTTAGTCTTTCTGCAACGTTCGGTCATTTTGTAATTATTTTGCACCCATTCTTTTGAATTTTTACACAACTACATTTATTTTTTGGTTATTTGACAACTCTTTTTAAAAGTTGAGCACCTAATGGTCATTTTGTAGTTGTTATTCACCAAATGTTCACCATTTTTTTGGTGGTGATTTTGCATAGTATTTACACATCAATGATTCCATTTGGTAATGTGAGAACCATTTTCTGTAGCTTTGCACTTAAAGGTAATTTTATACGATGTCCAACATTTAGAATTTTCTATTTGTTTTGCATCTATTTTTACACATGTTATGTGTCCATGTGGTCATTTGTAGATTTGGTCATTTTGTGGTTGTTTTGCACCAAGTTTTCCAAAATATTACCTTTTTTTGTTCTTTCTAACCTGAAGCTGAGTTTTTATTCTGAGAGGCCTGACAGTATGGTTTCATACAGTACCTCGAAGGTGAACGGGTGTGCGTGTTCTCCCAGTTTTTTGATCAGGCGTTCTTGAAGACGAGTCAGACTCTTCTTCTCTTCGGGCACGGGAGGAAACGCCTGGATGTTTGCCACGAACAGGTCTTTCCGAAACGTCAACCCAAGGACGTCCAGGTCCTCCCGACCGTACCGGAATGCACAGGTCAGAGTCACGAACACTAACGGGAAGAAAAAACAACAAAAATCAGATACTCATATTTCACGGTTTACTATAAAGAGCAGAGGCCCAAGGACGCTTCCCTGAGGAACACCACAACGTATTAAAGATGGACGAAAATAGGATTAAAAGTTCAGTAAGCAAGATATTTAAATGTCTGCCGTTACTTACCCGCTTGGACTGTTGTATATTGTATATTGATATTATCTTATGTTGTTGTTTTTATGTTTTGGGGTGGCAGTGGCTCAGTTTCTTAGCGGAAGCAATACCATATTTTTGACGTCAATATAATCCTTTTTAAATCAGTACTGTCAATCAAGTTGTTGGTTTATTTAGTAGCCGTGTAATGAGCAGGATCATTACCCTTACTTATGTAGCTTTGCTGTACTTAAGCAAAAGACACATTCAATGAGGTGGACAGTAAAGTCAGTTAAACATTAGTTCTGATGGACATGTTTCACCTTTCCTCTCCTTCAGGTACTCCGGGTCGATCAGGATGACGCCGTCTGCAGGAAGTAAAGTCAGAAATCAACGACATAAAATAATATAAATTAATTGAATAAATGCTTTCTAACTTATTTAAATAATCTCACCGACAGGCTCCACCAGATCCACCTGGTCCACAAAGTCTCTCTTCCCCAGATAGACTGTGAGCTGAGGGAGGAACACAGCGACCAATCAGAATCAACCATGACAAAATCAACAGCAAATCAGAAAGCGTCAGGACATCCAACAGCCAATCAGAATCCACCATCAGGACCTAAAAACTACTCAGACTTAACTGTCATGACATCTAAGAGCAAATCGTGTCAACATCAGAACATCTAAAAGCCAATCAGAAACTTTCAGGACATTCAATAGCCAATCAGAATCAACCGTCCTTCATAGATGTTTTAAAAACTGATTTCCACAGAGCGCTGCTGAAAAGCATCAAACCCTTTCTGCTCCAGTGACTGCTTTCGTTTACTTGTTTTTCTTTTACTTTTTTGTAAATTACTGGGGTTTTTTGCAGCATTTTTTTGTTGTTCTTTTGCTTTTCTAGGACTTTGTGTTTAGATTTCTCTTCAGGGGGCGAGCAGGTGTAAAAAAACAAACGAGGACTCACCTTTCCATTGGGACTGGCCTTCTTAAACACTCTGAAACACAGACAGAGAAGCAGGTTAATGAAATCCTTTATCTGGCCCGCAGACTTTTACAGCAGCAAAGAAACAGTGCAGATGAAATGTTAATAACAAACAAAACAAATAAGTACACCACGGTGAAAAAAATAAAGATATGTGTCAGGATTCTCATGTTTTGTCACGTTTGTAGTTTTGTATGTCTGGTTATGGGTATTTTCCTCCTTGTTTTTTGTCTGGTCCTTCTTCCTGTGTTTTTCCCCTGTCGTTAGTTTCCCTGGTGTGTCTAGTTGTCTGATTGTGTTCACCTGTGGCCCTTGTGTTTCGTCTCCCCTGCCCGGCTGTTTCTCGTCTTGTGATTACCCCTCCCTGTATTTAGTCTTGTCTCTTCCCGTGTTCAGTGTTGGTTCGTCTTTTGTTTGTGACTAAGTCTCCGGTGAGTGTTCTGTTTTGTCTTTATTAGTATCCGGTAGCCTTGAAATAAAGGAATTTTCAGTTTAAATCTCCATTTGGGTCCTGCCTGCTTCACACACCGTAACAGAACGAACCAACCTAAATATGGGCCCAGCAGATCCTTTTGAGCAGGAGATATTGGAGTTTTCCTTTGCTTTGGCTGGCTGCTCTAGTCGATGTTTGGGAGCGTCCAGGGTTCAGCAGCGAGAGGCTGTTCTGGCAGAAGCACGCCAGATTACGATGGAGAAACCAGGCTTGGTTAAATTCTTACCGGGCGGGATTTTGGATTTCCTCATGGTGTGTTATCCCTTGCCTGACAGCCCCAGGCCTCCCAACTCCCGTTATGATACCACACGCATCGGTGCGGTCCGTTTGGAGTCAACCCTGGCTTCTGCCCCATTGCCTGCTCCTGTCCAGGAGCCGTTCTCTGGAACTCGTCTGGCCTTTGGAGGTCCACAGAGCCTCCAAACGGCTCCTAAAGGAAGGAGTCGCAAGGTCAGGTTAGCAGCCCGAGCCCAAAGATCCATGGTCCCGGCCCCAGTTCTGGCCCCAGCGGCCATGGTTCCGGCCCTGGTCCCGGCCCCAGCAGCCATGGTTCTGGACCCAGTTCTGGCCCCAGCGGCCATGGTTCCGGCCCTGGTTCCGGCCCCAGCAGCCATGGTTCCAGCCCCAGTTCTGGCCTCAGCAGCCATGGTTCCGGCCCCTGTTCTGGCCCCAGCAGCCATGGTTCCGGCCCCAGTTCTGGCCCCAGCAGCCATGGTTTCAGCCCCAGTTCTGGCCCCAGCAGCCATGGTTCCGGCTCAAGTAGAGGCCCCAGCAGCCATTCCGGCCCCAGTTCTGGCCCCGGCAGCCATGGTTCTGGCCCCAGCAGCCATGGTTCCGGCTTCAGTACAGGCCCCAGTAGCCATGGTTCCAGCCCCTGTTCTGGCCCAGCAGCCATGGTTCCAGCCTCAGTCCTGGCCCCAGCAGCCATGGTTTCGACTCCAGCCCCTCGTCTCCGGCCGACGCCAGCTCCCGTGTCCTGTCGGCGTACCGGCCGACGCCAGCTCCCCGTGTCCTGTCGGCATTCCGGTCGACTCCAGCCCCCCGTGTTCTGTTGGAGAACCGACCGACTCAAGTCTCCTCTCAAGTTCCTTCTCAAGTCCCCTCTCAAGACACATCTCCAGCTCCCTCTCGAGTCTCCTTTCAAGTCACCTCTAGAGTCCCCTCTCGAGTTCCCTTTCGAGTCTCCTCTCGAGTCCCCTCTCGAGTCATCTCTCGAGTCTCCTCTCCAGTTCCCTCTCAAGTTCCCTCTTGAGTCCCCTCTCAAGTCTCCTCTCCAGTTCCCTCTCGAGTCTCCTCTCCAGTTCCCTCTCGAGTCCCCTCTCCAGTTCCCTCTCGAGTCCCCTTTCAAGACACTTCGCAAGTTCCCTCTCGAGTCCCCTCTCAAGTCACCCCTCCAGTTCCCTGTCGAGTCCCCTCTCGAGTCATCTCTCAAGTCTCCTCTCCAGTTCCTTCTCAAGTCTCCTCTCCAGTTCCCTCTCGAGTCCCCTTTCAAGACACTTCGCAAGTTGCCTCTCGAGTCCCCTCTCAAGTCACCCCTCCAGTTCCCTCTCGAGTCCCCTCTCGAGTCATCTCTCGAGTTCCCTCTCGAGTCCCCTCTCGAGTCACCTCTCAAGTTCCATCTCTAGTCCCTTCTCAAGTCACGTCTCTAGTCCCCTCTCTGGTCCCTTCCCGAGTCCCTCCTCTAGTCCCTTTCCAAGTCCCTTCTCTAGTCCCATCTCTAGTCCCTACTCAAGTCCCTCCTCTAGTCAATTCCCTAGTCCCACCTCTAGTCACTTCTCTAGTCCCATCTCAAGTTCCCTCTCGAGTCCCTTCTCGAGTTCCCTCTCCAGTTCCCTCTCGAGTCCCCCCTCGAGTCCCCTCTTGAGTCCCCTCTCAAGTCCCTACCCAATGTCCTGGTCCGTTGGAGGTTCCACTGGGGGTCCTGCCAACTCCATGTCCTGTCCCGTTGGAGGCCCCGCCAACTACTCCTCTGCCGGGGGTCTTGCCAACCCTATGTCCGTGCCGTTGGAGGTTCCGCTGGAGGTCCTGCCAACTCTATGTCCTGTCCCGTTGGGGGTCCCGCCGACCCTATGTCCTGTGCTGTTGGTGGTCCCGCCGACTACTCTCCTGCCGGGGGTCCTGCCAACCCTGTGTCCTGTCCCGTTGGGGGTCCCGCCGGCGACTCTTCTGCCGGGGGTCCTGCCAACCCTATGTCCTGTGCTGTTGGAGGTTCCGCTGGGGTTCCTGCCAGCTCCATGTCCTGTCCCGTTGGGGGTCCCGTCGACTACTCTCCTGCCGGGGGTCCTGCCAACCCTGTGTCCTGTCCCGTTGGGGGTCCCGCCGACGACTCTTCTGCCGGGGGTCCTGCCAACCCTATGTCCTGTGCCGTTGGAGGTTCCGCTGGGGTTCCTGGCAGCTCCATGTCCTGTCCCGTTGGGGGTCCCGTCGACTACTCTCCTGCCGGGGGTCCTGCTAACCCTATGTCCAGTCCCGTTGGGGGTCACGCCGACTGTTCTCCTGCCGGGGGTCCTGCCAACCCCTTGTCCTGTTCCGTTGGAGGCCCCGCCATCACATGTCTCGCCGGGGGTCCTGCCAACTCCTGGTCCTCTTCCGTGGGGGATCCTGCCGAAGCCTGTCCCACCGGCTCCGGTTCCTGTTCGGCCGACACCGGGTCCTGCCCGGCCTCCGGAGTTGTTTGGCCTTCGCCCCACCTTGGACTCTGCCTTGCCCCCGGGCCGTCCGCCCGAGTCCCCCTTCTCGGCTTCTGCCTTGCCCCCGGGCCGTCCGCCGAGACCCCTTCCTGGTCCTCTGCCATGCCCCTGGGGCTGTCAGCCCAAGACCCGTCCTCCAGACCCCCTCCACCCACCCTGGTGGCCCTAGTTTTTCCTGTGTTTTTCCCCTGTCGTTAGTTTCCCTGGTGTGTCTAGTTGTCTGATTGTGTTCACCTGTGGCCCTTGTGTTTCGCCTCCCCTGCCCGGCTGTTTCTCGTCTTGTGATTACCCCTCCCTGTATTTAGTCTGTTCTCTTCCTGTGTTCAGTGTTGGTTCGTCTTTTGTTTGTGACTAAGTCTCCGGTGAGTGTTCTGGTTTGTCTTTATTAGTATCCGGTAGCCTTGAAAAAAAGGAATTTTCAGTTTAAATCTGCATTTGGGTCCTGCCTGCTTCACACACCGTAACAATATGTATAGTATAAATAAAGAAGTATTGTATAACTGAGTACAGTGGAGCTGTTCGACCAATAGACTGCATATTTAGAGGTTTATTTTATTGCTTCATTATTCAAATGTTTATTTGTTTACCTTGTTCTGTAAACATAAATACTTTATTTGTATTGCTGTTGTAATTTGTTCTGCGGTAAAAGTCCTTGTATCAGATTTTAAAGGGCCCCTTTTCTGCTTATGATGTTCATATCAGTATGTAGTGTCTCTACTTTAAAGAGTCCTCTCCTGCTGATGTTCAGGTGTATATCAGTATGTAGTGTCTCTACTTTAAAGAGTCCTCTCCTGCTGATGTTCAGGTGTCTATCAGTATGGAGAGTCTCTACTTTAAAGAGTCCTCTCCTGCTGGTGTTCAGTATGTAGTGTCTCTACTTTAAAGAGTCCTCTTCTGCTGATGTTCAGTATGTAGTGTCTCTACTTTAAAGAGTCCTCTCCTGCTGATGTCCAGGTGTATATCAGTATGTAGTGTCTCTACTTTAAAGAGTCCTTTCCTGCTGATGTTCAGGTGTATATCAGTATGTAGTGTCTCTACTTAAAGAGTCCTCATCCTGCTGATGTTCAGGTGTATATCAGTATGTAGTGTCTCTACTTTAAAGAGTCCTCTCCTGCTGATGTGCAGGTTGTATATCAGTATGTAGTTGTCTCTACTTTAAAGAGTCCTCTCCTGCTGATGTTCAGGTGTATATCAGTATGTAGTGTCTCTACTTTAAAGATTCCTCTCCTGCTGATGTTCAGGTGTATATCAGTATGTAGTGTCTCTACTTTAAAGAGTCCTTTCCTGCTGATGTTCAGGTGTATATCAGTATGTAGTGTCTCTATTTTAAAGAGTCCTCTCCTGCTGATGTGCAGGTGTATATCAGTATGTAGTGTCTCTACTTTAAAGAGTCCTCTCCTGCTGATGTTCAGGTGTATATCAGTATGTAGTGTCTCTACTTTAAAGAGTCCTCTCCTGCTGATGTGCAGGTGTATATCAGTATGTAGTGTCTCTACTTTAAAGAGTCCTCTCCTGCTGATGTGCAGGTGTATATCAGTATGTAGTGTCTCTACTTTAAAGAGTCCTCTCCTGCTGATGTTCAGGTGTATATCAGTATGTCGTGTCTCTACTTTAAAGAGTCCTCTCCTGCTGATGTTCAGGTGTATATCAGTATGTATTGTCTCTACTTTAAGAGTCCTTTCCTGCTGATGGTCAGGTGTATATCAGTATGTAGTGTCTCTACTTTAAAGAGTCCTCTCCTGCTGCTGATGTTCAGGTGTATATCAGTATGTAGTGTCTCTACTTTAAAGAGTCCTCTCCTGCTGATGTTTCAGGTGTATATCAGTATGT